CCCCTGGTCCATCACTGATGCTTCCCTCCCTCAAATTCTCTGTCTCCATTTCCATGGTTAAGTTGTCTTCCAATAGTCATGATAGACCATGAACTTGGGGTAAACAAACAGGTGGCTGGAAGAACACAGTAACCCAGGCAGAATCTGGAGGAAAGGAGCAGTCAACGTTTCGGGTATTACCCTTCTTCAGAACTGGATGTGAGGTAGGGGGAGCTGCTAATAAAGGTGGGGGGGGGGGAGGGGGGGAAGAAGGGGTGGAGGTGGAATGGTGGTGATAGGTACGACCTAGTTGGTCGACGGGAGGGTTGAATCCTGTTGGTGGCTGGAAGAAAGGGTCAGAGGTGGAATTGAAGGGAGGAGGTGGGGCTGGAAGGGGAGGTGGGGGATGGGTGGCAAGGTTATTTGAAATTGGAGAACTCAATGTTGAGTCCTTCAGGTTGTAGAGTGCCCAGGCGGAAGATAAGGTGCTATTCTGAAGAAGGGTCCTGACCCGAAACGTTAACTTTCCTGTTCCTCTGATACTGCCTGCCCTGCTATGCTTCTCCAACTCCACACTGTGTTATCTCTGACTCCAGCATCGGCAGTTCTTATTATCTCACCTTTAAAAAACCCAGTTTACAATATTTATAATACTGTCATAAAATGGTGTCATGGTAGAGGCTGACTGGACCCTCCACTGTCAATTTATTTCAGGTACTTCTGCTCCCACCCCTACTCACCCCTCATACAGCCAGGATAGCATTCTCTTTGTCTCCATATTCCACCATACTAGCCTTTATTATTTACTTGATTATCCTCCACCACTTCCATTTCACCAGGATGCCACCATCAAACTCATCATGTACTGCCTTCCCCTTTCAGCATTCTGAAGTCTCTACTCCCTGTATAATACAATACATTCTCTTCATTCACCTCCAATGTTCTTTCCTTCACCTTCTGTCACCTTCATTTCCTCTGGTAGCTTTACATGAAAGTGCAGGTGATGCAACAGCTGTGCTTCCATTTCCTCTTTTCTTACCATATAAGGCCCTAAATATGGTCTTCAAGTGAAGTAGCAATTGAAGTATACTTCTTTCAATGTAGTATACTGTATTTACTGTTCACAATGTTTAGAAAGACTAAAAACAGACTAGAAGCATGGGCAGGATCTTATAGAGGTCTCAGCAATGTGGACTATGGTGAATCTTGTGACAGAATTGTGTTAGAAGTCTAGTGAGGTAGTTCTTGACATGGGAGCATCTTACTCCAACTTTTTATGCTTTTCACAGCATTGTGGTAAGTTTCTCACTGGACAGTGGTGAGTTGACAATTAAGAGGATTGTTGCTTATTGATTGCTTTATTGATGGCCCAGCTACCTAATTATTATTCAGCCTCCTATCTTAAAGCTCACCAAGCAAGCTGGACAACAAGAAAACTTGACTTGGAAATCAGCTGGTACCTGCATGCTATGAAGGAGTTCCACATTGGACACCATGCACCAACATCTAGCTACATGCACCCATCTACAGACACTGACATTCAATATATACCAGCCTCTAAAACCCTTCTTGGCATATCTCTGATCCACTTACAGAACACTTCTGCACTTCAATATTGCACTTTAATGCTGCAACAGTAACTGTCATTGTAAAGCCCAGTAAGGATACTGTACACTCAGTAACACACACCCAGCTCATGAACTGGACCAGGCTATATTTCCGGTCTCTTCGTTCACTGTCATAGTGCTCACTTCCTCTTAATCTACATGCAGGCTCACAGCATTACTGCCCTGTCTTGCCATTTTGCACTTTTCCTCATCAACCAGAGATACCAAGCTCATATCCTACAAAGGAAGGAAGATTTTGATGGTTGTCAGCAGGCTCAATCAAGTCATGGGGATACTCTTTGCTGAAGGGGTCTTGGCAATTGTCAATCAAGGGCAGTCTCTAATATTGTTACAGGAGCTTGGAAACCGTCAGTCAGTCATTCAAGGTAGTCAGAATTAGGCTGCTCTCCACATAAGGGAGAAGACCTGGATGCAAGAAAACCCACCATCTGCCTTGAGCCTTTCTGTCATATTGTGGATTGTTAATCTCGAATAACAGCCAGGCAGGTTATTAAAGGAGAGGAAAGTGAGGGCACAGCTGTTACTTTTGGTGTAGGTGGGGAGGTACCCCAAGCAAATAATTAGGTAGCACAAAGGGCATGCAGAGTGAGTGTTGTCATGCTTGGGTGGGTGACAGCGAATGAGGGAAGAAGTCACAAGCAGTGAAGAGCGGCATGGCCTTGATGGGAGGCAGGTACAGTGGCAGAGTGTGCAGAGTGAGTGTGAGGTCGAACAGAAGGTGCCACTTGTGCTACTGGAGTGGAGTTTCCTATAGTTCTGGGCATTCCTCCAGACAGCTGAAATTACTTTTACCCCAGTGGCAATCATGGAATAGGCTAGCATGGTCTGGTATCATGGCCTCCATTGTTAGTCCTCTGGGAAGAGGAAGAACTGCTTCAGTGCCAACCACTCCCAGCATGACCACCGGGACCCTATCCACAAAGTGGGGTACCAATCTACCCCCTGTCTGCCATGTCAGAAACCATGCTGGGTAGTTCCAGACTGACAGTGCTTTCCTGGGTGCAAAACAGGCTTCTAAAGATGGCACTATTGCAAGATATGCCAGTGAATTCTGGGAATCATGGCAGAGGTGAATGGTTTTGTGAACTGTGCTTGATAAGGTGTGCCAGTAAACTGATGTGACTGTGCAATAAGAATGGCATAGATAGTTAATGAGGTGAATTTGGTAAGATAATGAGGGAAAACCCATTAGGCATTGCAGTGGAAATCTCTCAAAAAACAACTTCACACCACTTGGACTTAGCAAAAAACCAAAGATTCAGCCCCAGCTGATCACTTTGCAGTACCCCTCAATTCAATCTGCAGGCACAACCACAAGTTTCCAGTTGATTGTCATTTTAATTCTAAACCTTGTTCCCATTCCAATCAATATGCATATGGCCTGTTACAACATTTCAATAAAACTCAATACAAGCGAGATGAACATCACCTTATCTTCTGACTCGCACTTTATAACCTTTTGGACTCAATACTGAGTTCAATAATTTTAAATTATAAACTCTATTTTATTATTGTCCTTTCTTGGTTTGATCAGCTGGTCTTGTCTTGTTTCTTTCTTGCCACATTTTCCACTACATTTTTTTTTAAAAACTTCACGATCTCTGTTACTACAATCTTTGGCTGTTCCATCATAAAATCTTCTGCTATTTAATCTTTTCTACCCTACCACAGAGCTTTTCTTGTGTTTTTTCCTGCCCTCTCCCCACTTCCACTGACTTAAAAACTCTTACATTTCTACCTTCCTTCAGTTCTGATGCAAATTCACTCAGCCTTAAACATTGAGCAGGATCTTCCGCTCCTTATCAGTGGTAAGGCAGTTGTTGAAAAGGCCTAATAATTGAGCACACTGGTACTGGAGAGATTCCTGCACTCTTCCCTCTACCTTTGCTATCAAATTGACCCATGGGCCATTTTTTCAACACACTAACAAGTAAGAGTCTTTAGTGGCCAAGTAAGGATCTCTACTTATCAACAGCCCAATTACATGCCTTCTGGATAAATGCACAAAATATCTGCTGCCCTTGACAGTTAAACCAGCGCAGCCTTCCTGCAGGTTGTGGAGGTGATTCCATTTTCTCCAATCTGGCAACAGGAGGAATCAATCAGGACAGGGGGCTGATGCCGTTGCCTCTGACCCTCCTGTTGATCCCTTCCCCGTAACTGCCTTTGGTTTCAACGGTTTCACAGCCCAGGCCTACAATGATTCTCTGCAGCTCCCAGCGGACTGCCAGCCTCAAACTGGCTGGAAGTTCAAGTGGGCTGCGACTTATTGGTCACTCATCAAACCTGATAGATCAACGAGCACAGAAGTACCTGATTGCTGCTTTCATAATGTTGGGTTGGGACTGGGCTTACTCATCCTTTGAGACTCCCTCCTCCATGTTTTATGCAAAAAAACACGAAATCATACCTGGTAATTCTTTCTCTTTCTCCACAGATGCTGCCTCACCTGTTGAGCTCTGACAATATATTTTTGCTTTTACTTTAGATTTCCAGCAGATTCAGCATTTTGCTTTTTATTTAGCATGTCTTAAAATTGTTTGACGTAAATTCACATTGGCTTGTCCAGGTGCACTGCACTAATCTACTTATGTAACCTAAAACTTGACTTTAACAAATTATCTTTTTATTATTAGCATTTACAAATAAGCTAGTGCTAGTATTTAGTCAAAACTTCAAATACAAACGTTGAAACAGCAAATAATAACTTAAATGAGTCTATGACACCTATTAATAATAGTTTAATTTTGGAGTGCAGCTTCAAGAATTATTTATAAGTGACACTGACTGACAGAATGTTGAATTCAATAAGTCTAGTAATTTGTGGGTTGGATGAGCATTAGGACTGATGAATTCTAGTAAAATCTTAACTAATTTGCAAACATTCTTCAGATAAGGGAACCTGCTACCTTTATCCACGTTTTTCTATTTGTGACGTCTGTCTCACATTAGGTAATTGACCCTAAATGTTCACAGGGAAATGAGTTCTGGGCAATAATCTTTTTTGTACTCAGTGTCACCTTTAATTCAAAAGTCAATGAACACACTTGTTGTCTACAAACTTTAATGTCATTATTGTTGGATGTGTTTTTCTGTCTCTGTTTAATATTGTAAATTGTTATGCCAATATTTCTCATTCAATACTGACACATCTTCTGCTGTGAGGCAGCTTCAGGCTCTGACCATTAGATGGAACTACAGTTCAATTTTCTGAAATCACTTGTGAAATTCAATTCTCAACTTCGATACACACTAAAACATTCATTTAAAGAAAGTCTTTTTTTTAACCTAAGGACATTATTTTTACATTGATGGCTATCTCATAAATGAAACTGTGTCACATGAGAATGCAACTGCCTTTTATCTGAAATGTAGAAAATATCTTTCTCTTACCTCCCAGTTTCCTTGAGGCGATTGTTTCTTCAGCTTTATAGACCAGTTCTCCAGATTTCCTTCTGCACAATGTTGAATGCTAAGGATGACTGGCCCAGTGAGCAGGACACCTGGAGGCCCACAGCTTACAACTGGACTGAGCAGGGTCTGGCATCCTGCTAGAGGTAACCTCAATTATCAAAATGGTAAAAATACATAAGCAATGTAGAATAAATAATGCAGAAAAGATGTATTATTCAGTTCTATATGTTCTATTATTTATCTCACAATTTATCTTCAAAGGTATTTTTATTGAACTCCATTTAATTCAACTATATAATATGAAGATTGCCATTCTCACAATTGGCTAGAATATTAAGAAGACTTTATGCCATTTAATTGTACGAAGGTTTTTCTGCCCACAGGATGTTGAGAATATTTTGAGTTAACATTTTTTTCTTATTCTCTAGAGATTATAAAGTCACTACATCATAATTTTCAGGATTCATAGCTTTTTATTTCAAGATAGGTGTGATATGAAACAAAATCTCTGAAATTCTGAGAGAGAAAGAATTGCCATAGGAACCAAATAAACAATTTTGTTTTCCTTAACAAGCAAGCCTTTTTTTCTCAGCTTGATTATTTGACCCCAAATGTATGCATTATTCATAAAATTTGCAGAAGTACATTCCAACACATTTCCAATTGAATTTTGCAGGAGGTGCAATAGAATTTCACTTGCATCCATACAACAGGTTCCACTCTAAGTTGTGTCAATACAATGCCAATTCTCTCGACAGTTAGAATTTACATTTCATGTCGGAAATACGGCCCATGGGGTTCTGTAGTTTCCAGCCCCTTGCTGTAACTGAAAGTACAATTCAGATCAGGAACTTACTGAACGATGATCCATGACCTGCACGTATTTGTCATTCAACAGCATACAGTCAGTTCTGATTTAACGCGATAGTTCCATTCTCGTGCAATCTTGTGTTATAAGAAAATTACGCAATAACTGTGACATGTAAAGTGAAGGGGACAGAATTGCATTATAGTCAATGCAGGTAGGGAATGTTCATATTCTACAAATAGCATTCTATAATTCTTCAATCACGTTAAAAAAAATTTGCATTGAAGAAACACGCGTTAAATCAGAAGCGACTGTATTATAGTCATTCGAGTTCTATTACACAGTACAAGTTTTCAAACAAGGTAAATTGTGATCTTGTACCAAACAGAACAAAGGCAATCAGGAGGTAGACTAGGTATAATACGATGATTTAATGAATAGAACTAAGATAACTGTTGATTTTAGCTTAGCAACTCTGAAAACCACATGGATACAATTTATCAAATAAATATTGTTGTGAAGTTGGGTAGAGTACATGTGGATGGGAAGGTAGGAAGTGAGAATTTGGTGTTTGTAAAATGCTGGGGGAAAAGCAGTGTGTGGTCCATTTAAAAGATGATGTGCTTTTTCTCTGCTTAGAGATTCAAGCAGGGTGTCTGTAGGCAGCAGCTTGTGTATTTGCAGTTGCACAGAGGGCACCCAAATTGAAACATTTGTATCAAAAGGCTGTACAGTTAGCAGGCCAAGCAGCAGTTTTGTTTTGTTATCATGACAACAATTTTTGAGTTTAGCCAATCAATTTGAAACAGCCATTTAGATGCCAAAAACCAATTAAATTTAAATCTAATGGCTTTGACAACATGGGACCAAGCCTATTGAAAGAAATTGATATGTCATGAGGGGTATAAAAGGAGACGGCAGTTGGAAAATCAGAAGGGTTAGCTGCTATCTGCTAGAGTTAACGTCTCTCAGCTCGCAAGAGAAAATCACTGACCCTCATAGTTTTCTCTACGTTTGAGAGAAAGCACCATCTAAATCAAAGGTACCTATGGCACAACTGGTTAATGTTCCTGACAGGACATTCAACGGAGAAAGCGTTCCTGACAGAACACTCAATGGAGAAGGCACAGAACATTCAGGAAGACCTGGCTGTAATTTCAAGAGACTAAAGTCTGTGTTTTGTTTTTATTTTATATAAGAGGGGCTTTTATTTGTTGGAACAGCATACTATTAGAATCTTGTTTTATTCAGGAATAGTTAGTAGTTAGGGGTTTATTTGGTTTGTAAATAGTTTAGATTATTTGTTCACTGTTAGAGTTAGATAAATGAGTTGTTACTTGTTGGTTGCAAAGTGAGTGTGAGAGATTTATTTTATTTAACCACGAGAAGTTGCTGAAAGGCAGGTTACACCACTTTTCACACTCCCTTTACAGATTATAGGATGAGGTGCTCTTCTTTGGGTGTTTTGGGTTTAGTTCTCAGAGGCGAGTCAACCTCCGCTTTATAACAGGTTGGGGGCTCGGGTCCGGGATCTAGCCAGCTCAGGACAGATCGGGTCCAGGATTTAGATGGATTTGGACAGATCTGGACAGATTTAGGGTATGAAAGGTCCCAGCAGATTTAAACAGACTTGGGGACTAATGTCCTAGACATTTTAAAAGAAAATACTTAAGTGAGAAGTGGAAAATCTGTTTAACTTCTGTTGCTTGTTGTTGGTTTAATCAAAAGTGGGGAAATAGCACTTAACATTGCTAAAGAGGTTCTGGGAGTTGAAGATGCTTCCCAAATTTGCCAAGAAAGTTTAGAAAGTCCGAAAAGAAGAGGCACTAGAATTGGGTTTAACTAGGGGTAAGAAAGAAGTTAGTCAAGCATTTTGATACATCAGAGAAACAATTAGGTACAGTGGAGTTAGAAAATAATAAATTGCAAATTAGACAATTAGAGTTAGAAGACAAAGAAAGGGAAAGAAGAGCCAGGGAAGAAAAGAAAGAAATGGAACTGAAACAGTTTGAATTACAGTTACAAGCGGAGAAAAGACAAAAAGAGAAAGAGAGAGAGTTTGAACTTCGGAAGTTGCAAATTTGACAGGATAGCTGACTGAAAATGATGGAAATAAAGGCTTTGTGAGGAGGAGGGTGATGATGAGCAAACCCAGCATAGACAAAGATCTTTTAGGAATATATACAAATATGTCAAAACTTCACCAAAATTCAATGAAAAAGATGTCGAAGCCTTTTTCATTTCCTTTGAGAAATTGGCTAAACAGATGAACTGGCCAGAATCTATGTGGGTAATGTTAATGCAGATCAAGTTGGTAGGCAGGGCTAGTGATGTGTTTGCAGTGCTATCAGAGGAGGTGTCGAGAGAATATTAAGGAGTAAAACAGGCTAGTTTGAGTGCATACAAATTAGTACCAGAAGCATATAGACAACGGTTCAGAAATGCAAGAATAGAGTGGGTCAGAATTATTTTGAGTTTGAAAGAATTAAACAGAACAATTTCGATAGATGGATGACAGCATTAAAGATAGAAAGGATATATGAGAATATTAGTGATGTTATTCTGCTGGGGGAGTTTAAAAACTCATTTCCAGAGTGATAAGAACTCATGTTGAGGAGCAGAAAAGTCAACCAGCGAGAAGAGCTGCAGAGATGGCAGATGAATACACATTAGTGCATAAATTGAAATCTAGCTTCCGACAGCAATTTCATTCCATGTGGATAAAAACTGGGAAAGAGGGTGATCCTTTAATGAAAAACAAAAAGTAGATCACACTGGGAACAGTTTACCACATGTGAAAAAAGAAATCCAAGAGGGTGGAAAAAAAGAGGTGAAAGAGCTCAGGTGTTTTCAGTGCAATAAGGTGGGACACACAAAATCACAGTGCTGTTGGTTCAAGAAAAGCATTGGGAAAAAGGGTGTGGTGGAGGAGGCTAAACCATTGAAATTAGTTGAGGTAGAGAAGAAAATCCCAAGTGAAGTCAAGGAGCAGCAGGAGAGTGTACAGCCTAGTCAAGAGCTGGATCGTAAGATGGCACTCAGCCTTTTTGAAGATTTCCCCTATGTGGGTAAGGTTTACTCAGGTAGAACAGGGGGAGTAGGTAAAGAAGGTAAAATATTGAGAGATACAGGAGCTGGTCAGTCTCCAATAGTAAGAGATGAAAATGTTTGCATTCATTCTGAAATATTGCCCAAGAGAGTTATAATCTATGTAATAACTGGAGAGAGAAATAATGTTCCCCTGAGTAAGATAAAGCTAGAAAGTCCAGTCAAGACTGGGCAAGTGATAGTGAGAGTAATAGAAAAATTGGCTATTCCAGGGGTACAGTTTGTTCTTGGAAACGATATAGCTCAATCTCAACTGGGAGTGAGGCCCATTGTGTTGGATAACCAAAAGGAAACCAGGGAACTGAGGAGTTAAAAGGAAAATACCCTGGAATTTTTACAGACTGTGTCGTGAAAAAATCCCACAACCATAGGTTAAACCAAGGAAGGCAAACAAAAGAGAAAGATGAAGTTGAGGTCCAGTTAGCTGACACCCAATTTGATGAAATGGTAAAGGAGAAACCTAAGCAGGTAGAGGATAAGGCAAGGTGTGTAGTTCTGAAAGATGAATGGAATTACAATAAAAAGATGAGATGGTAAGGATTTATTATGATAAAGCCTACTCAAAAGGAATCAGAATGCATTCCAGAATGTCATTACCTTAAGGATAAAATGGCACAAATGGAGACCTTAGTAGGTTAGTGCAGATGAGAAGTTCACCAGATTGTGTTGCCGGTAGTCAACAGACAGGAAGTATTCCGGGTAAAACATGAATTATCTGCAGGAGGTTATCTAGGAGTGAGGAAGACTCAGGCTAAGATACAGAAGCATTTCTATTGGCCTGGATTACATAAAGATGTGGTTGAATTTTGCCGTACCTGTCATACGTGTCAGTTGGTAGGAAAGCCACTGGCAATAATAAAACAGTGTCTTTGGTGCCAATTCCCGCATTTTTAAAAAAATTTCATTCATGAGATGAGGGCGTTACTGGCTAGGCAGCTTTTATTGCCCATCTCTAATTGCCCAGAGAGCAGTTAAGAGTCAACGATTATGTTGTGGGTCTGGAGTCACATGTAGGTCAGACCAGGTAAGGATGGCAGTTGTCTTCCCTAAAGGACATTAGTGAACCAGATGTGTTTTTCCAAAAATTGACAATGGATTCATGGTAGTCATAAGACTCTTAATTCTAGATATTTATTGAATTTAAATTCCACCATCAGCAGTGGCAGGATTCAAACCCAGGTCCCCAGAACATTATCTGGGTCACTGGATTAATTGTCCAGCAATAATACCACTAGGCCATTGCCTCCCCATAAGAACCTTTTCATGTCGGTTATGATTGATTGCATAGGTCCCCTCCCTAAAACGAAAAATGGGAACCAGTTTTTGCTAACCATAATGGATGTGTCTACCAGGTTTCTGGAGGCACTAAGGAATGTCAAGGCAAAAATGGTTGTGGAGGACTTGCTTGCTTTCTTTACCCATTATGGACTACTCAGGGAGATTCAACCAAGGGTCCAATTTTTCTGCCAAATTAATAAAGGAGGTCATGGATAATTTAGGCATCATGCACTTTAAATCCAGTGCATACCATCCTGAATCCCAGGTAGCATTGGAAAGGTGGTATCAGACCCTGGCTTATTGCCAGGATTACCAAATGACTGGGATATAGGTATCCCATTTATATAATTTGCTATTAGAGATGCTCCAAAATGAATCAAATCAGTTTCTTCCACTTGAATTCATATTTGGATGTGGAGTAAGAGGACCTTTAAAATTAATTAAGGAAAAGTTGATAGATCCGAAGTCAGAGATCTACAGTTGGACTATGTATCTAAGGTGAGAGAAAGATTAAACAGAGTAGGTGAATTAGCCAGACAACAGTTGAAGGTGGCACAGCGCATAATGAAGCAAGAAACAGACAAGAAATCTAAAATTTGTACATTTGCCTGTGGGGACAAAGTATTGGAGATCATTTCAAAGCAAGGTTTAGTGCTCCCCATCAGATTGAGAAGCACTTAAGTCAGGTGAATTATCTGGTAATGATGCCAGAAACGGGAAAACAAAAATCGGTATGTCATGTGAACATGCTGAAATATTATTATGACAGGGAAAAGGAACCAGAGAAACAGGTATTAGTTACTTCCAGTCAGAGTGAGGAATCAAATCCAGGTGATTTGGATTTTGATGTCCCTCAAAATAAATTGAATTAATGAGGAAGTCCTTAAAGAATGGGATATGATAATGAGCTATCTGTCCCAGGAACAGAGAACTGAATTGAAAGACTTGTTACAGTGCTATGAGGACATATGTAGAAATAGAATGGGGAGGACTAGTGCATGAGGTTGACATAGGGAATGCTGTTCTGATAAAACAGAACACCTATAGGCTTAATCCTCTCAAAGCAGCACAGGTACAGAAGGAAGTGGAAGCGATGCTCCAAGAAGACATTATCGAGCCGAGTCAAAGTGAATGGAGTTCACCCATCATTTTGGTTTCCAAACCAATGATTGTGTGCTCAATGATTCTGTGTAGATTATCAGAAGGTCAATGCTGTGACCAAATCTGACTCATCCCCAATTCCAAGGCTGGAGTACTGTGTAGAAAAAGTACGACAAGCCACTTACATTACAAATTTGGATTTACTTCACAGTTACTGGCAAGTACCTTTGTCGGAGACAGCAAAAGATGTTTCTGCTTTTGTAACACCAAATGGATTATATCAATTTAAAGTAATGCCCTTTGGAATGAAAAATGCACCAGCCATTTTTCAAAGACTTATGAATAGAGTTGTTGCAGGATTAAATAATTGTGGCATCTACATAGATGACTTAGTGATCTTTAGTCATTCATGGAAAGATCACTTGAAGCATTTGGCAGAGCTCTTTGACAGAATACAGAAGGCAAAGTTGGTCATAAACTTGGCAAAAATAGGAAACCACCCAAGACTTTGCTGCGTCATTATTATTTCCAGGCATCACAAGTCAATTGGCAGTGATGGGAGAGGGCTAGATCAGTAGGGCTAATCTAGTAGTTGCAATTCCTGGATATGATTGTGACAGTCAGTACGTTATATAAGTACCTTCACAAGGGCCCATGCGATCTCATGGAATAGGAGAATGAAGTAGAAGTTGATTAATAAAGTGAGCATTTTCCTAATTTTAAAGGCTTGGGCAAAGCCCTTTGCGAGAAAAAGGTTGTTCCTGTCCAGGGAAGGAGGTAACGGGGACAGTACTATGGATTTCAACAGATATTGGAAGACAGGGAAACATATCTGAAGCCCCGCTTGCACATATCTTACCCATACTAATTAGATATTTCGCACTGATGTAGTCAACATTTGGAAGATTAAATTGGAGACTACCATCAAACTTGCAATCAAGCATAGATGACTACATTGTGACTGATGAAATTTTAGGTCCCTAGGCTATTTGGTAAAAATGAATATCATCAATATGGAGAGATTTTTCTCTTCCAGCAATTGGGAATGGAAGATTGCTTGGAAAATCACAAATATAAATGGCAGCTGCAGACCTGTCCAATTTTCTGTTCATTTAAATTAGTAACTTAGAAGATCATTGACTTTCTTCAGGCATTTAACCCCTGAATGATGTCCTGCACAAAATGATAAGGTTAACATCAGACTGTATTGTGGTCCGTATTACTGATGTTCTATTTTGGTAGACTACAATATGTATCAGAATGTTAATCAATGTGAAAGATATAACCGATCCAACTTCTGAACTTAGTATAGAACTGATAAACGTGCAGGATTACTGGTTATATAGGCAGAAATAGAATGAGGATTGCAGCATGATCCAAGTTTGAGCTGTCACATACCTCAAATCTTCTTTTTTGTGAACTGTAAGATATAGTTCATAGATCTTGCCTCGAGGAATAGCTTCTGGTGGAATCAGTAAACTAATCCCTATAAATAAAACAGGAATTTAGAGTTTGCTATATGGTACTTCATAATCAATTAATATTTATAGAAAAATGTGTTTATACAATTGTGTTTTCTGATTGGAACAAAAAGAAGTGTGTTACTATTTTTTACACATCGTAATAAATTATTGCATTTTTTTCCTGATAATGATTATTTTCACACAGGTTCCAGTTAAGAATTGTAATGAATTCTGAACAATTCATCTCATTTGAATATCTCCCTCAGATGTAATTTTGTTTCCCCTTTAATACTTCATGGTCTATCAGTATCACTGGAAACACCAGCATTTGTTGCCCATCCCAAATTGTCCTTGAATAGAGTCTAGACCATTTCAGAGGGTAATTAAGGGTGAACCACATTGTTGGGGATTTGGATTCTCACATGAGCGAAATCAGGTAAAGTCAGCAGCTGTGTTTTTACGACCATCAATGATAGTTTCATGATTATTAGCTTTCAATTCCAGATTTATTAAGCGCATTATAATTGCACCAGCTGGCATGGTGGGATTTGTAGCCCTGTACCCAGAGTTTCAGCCCAGGCCTCTGAACCAATAGACCAGTGACATTACCAGTACACTACTGTTTCCCCTGAATGCCTTTGATTTTCTGTAAATGAAGACATGTCTGAAGCCCCACTTGCACATATCTTACCCATATTAATTAGATACTTCCCACTGATGTGGTCAATGTTTGCAAGATTAACTTGCAATCAATCAAGCATTGATGACTATATTGTGACCGAAGAGTTTTTAGATCCCTAGACTAGTTGGAAAAGATGAATGCATTAAATATGGAGAGATTTCTCTCTTCCAGCAATTGGGAATGGAAGATTATTTGGAAAATCACAAATGTAAATGGTGGCTGCAGATCTGTCCAATTTTCTGCTCATTAAAATTAGTAACTTTGATTTTCTTTCAGGCATTCGGCCCCCTGCACAAAATACTAAGGTTAACATCAGACGTATATACTGTATCACTGATGTTCTATTTCTACAATATATATCAGAATGTTAATCAAAGTGAAAGATATAACTGATCCAACTTCTGGACATAAGATGAAGGCAAACCAAGTAAGGCAACATGAAACACTGGGCAGTGCATACGAAAGGCCAGAAATTTCTGACAAAACATCTTGAGGAACGGAGGGAACAGGATGGGACATTTAGCTGTACCCTGTTTGTACCCTCACCACATTTCACCGTTCAAAATTTTACATGCTGGCACCAGTGTTAACATGTGGAGTGGGTGTGGTTAACAGAGAATGGGCAATGGGCTATTTTGGCACAATGCCGGTGTGGGTCCTGACCCAAAAATTTGACTTTCCTGCTCCTCTGATGCTGCCTGGCCTGCTGTGTTCCTCCAGCTCCACACTATGTTATCTCTGACTCCAGCATCTGCAGTTCTTACTATCTCTGAGTAGTTTCGAACTTGCCAGTTCTCTAACTCTGCAATGGATTATTATAGTATCAAGTAATGTTGAGACCAATTCAGCCTGAGTGGGATTTTGACATTCCAGAACACATGCTTTGTCCTGTTATTTTTTAAAAATGATAGCACTGTGCTTATACTTGTGGACTTGTAATCCGAAGGCTCAGACTAAAAATTTTGAGACATGTTCAAATCCTACCACAGCTACTCTATGTAATTTTGAACATGAAACTACTGTGTTGTCATTAGACCAATTGGTTCATTAATATGATTTAGCTGTGGAAAACATTTTTTTTTGCAAAAGAATATACGTGATTCCAGGGCAAGAATACGTTTAATTCATGATTGCCCTCTGCATGCCGCTCAGTTGTTGCCACCATCTTTTCAGGGGGAATTAGGGATAGCCAATAAATGTCGGTCTTGCCAGCGACACTCACATCCAACTAATAAATAAAACAACAAGCTTCACTTCCTCTGGTGTCCAAACAAACAAGGTGGTTGTAAACTTATCTGCCTCAGATGCCCATGAAATTGGATCTCACTACAAATTCCTGTTCTGGCTGACCACATAATGGTAGCTTTTCTTGTCAGGAATTTCAAGATTAAGATGCTCTGCCAAAAGTGAGCTTCTTTTCCCAGCAATATTTTGTTTCATTATTCAGATTAATAAATTAATCTTCAGGACGTATAACACAGCAGCAGATCTGGTATCAGGTCTTAGCAAAAGGTTATGCTGAGGCCTTCTAAACACTTGATTTTTACTGGACATCTCAACATTATCTAAAAATGGATGTGGTAATTAGCAGCCTGCACATCTGTTGTGCATTAGGTTCAGTAAGACCTCTGAATTTACTTAGATTATGAGCTGCTCCCTCAACATATTTGGAGTCCTTAATAGCACTGCAGGTGTTCAGCATCATCTAGAATGGACACAGCTTGATATACCTTTATCTTCAGTTGTATTCCATTTTCGGAGTATTGCTATTTTTCTTATTTTGCTGTAGCTGTTTGTCAGGCACTGCTACTGTCTCTAATTGTTAATGTGAGAGAATTGATGCGACTGAAGCATGTTACAACTTTACTGCAATATAGATGATTTAAATTGTGGTGTTTGTGCTTGTTTCCACAAACAATGTCACACTGTATGTTACTTTCAAAGGAGGTATGAGTCTTACTCTGGCAACAATAGAAGGAGAATCACAGCAGCAACAAACATAGGTACATTTTGAAGATGATCAATGAAGCCATATTTGTATACATTTTTGTATTTCCCTACAGCCGGGCTGCTTCATTAAGAATAGCTCTGTAAATTGTAGTCAGGTATTTACAGCCTTGATCTTTCCTGCAACTGAACTGTTCCAGCAAACAGGGTTTGAAAAAAAGCCCAATCAACAAACCTGCAGCGCACGTCAATTCACCAACTTCTATACGGAAAACAGCTGGCAACAGAAGACAGCCCTTCACTTATTATTGTCAAACTGCATCCCTTGAAGGACAGACATTATTGATGGTATGCATTTGACCACACAGGCTATAGCTCAAATGCCATAGTTCTACGGGAGAATAGAAGTCCATTCGGCTCAACACTTTTGCAAGGACTCATTTCTGGGATAATCCAATACTAATTTGTGTTCTGTTCTCCCCTCTTAGCCGTGTCCTTTCACCTACTTCAACGTAGTCTCTTATGAATGACTTTGTCTGATATCTTCTGGAAGTGTGCATAAATAACAAATATAGACATAGCCCGTCCACAACTTTTTTTGTCACCTCTTCAAAAAAAATTAATTAGACTGGTCAAGCATGACATAACCTTTAAAAATCCATGCTGGTTCTCTTAAATCAGTTGAAACATTTCAGCCACTCTATCCTTAGGCTTGAGTAATTTCCAGACAGCAGTTGTTAGACTAATTGGTCTCTATTCCTAGGTGTCCTTCTGTCACCTTTCTTAAGTAGTGAAGTGACATACAGATTTTCCAAAGGAACCATTCATGAATCAAGAGAACTTAGGAATATTATGATTAGCAAATGGAACGTCAATACTTCAATGCAAAGTAAAATTGTGATGGTTAGCTGATGAGACCTCATCAATTTTTAGTGGGTAGGTCAGTTTAACATTCCTTGCTTCCATCCACTATTGTGTTTAAAATTTTAAGAGAATTTATAGTGACTGATTTTATAGATGAAATGAATATAGTCAGAATGGTATATCTGATTTTCAAAAGGTGCTCAGTAAGATTCTCACAGCTGATATCATACAAAAGAAAATCACGTTTGTGAAAATGTAGTCATAAGGTGAAAGTTTCTGATATCTTATTATTTGGGAACATATTCTCCAAAACAGAAGATAAACAGACATTAGTTACATTCTTTTTCTTGAAAAAGCGTATTAAAATAGCATTTCCAAGAAATCAGTTGATTTTAGCTCAATAACTAGCAAGCCATTTAAGGAGTTAGTTGCTGAGGTTTCTAATGACTTGAGTTTTAGACCAAGAGAGAGACAGCCAGAACAGTAACAGGTTCTTCCAAAAGAGGCGATCCTTAATAGCAGAAGGTGCGATTAGTAACAGTAAAAAAAAAGGGCCAGGGCAAGGGAGAAGCCCTTAGTTGCTTAGAAGAAATCTCTAGCAGAAAATGTGAAGGTGCCAGAGGGGAAAATATCCTACAAGACTGGTTCAGCAGTAATGTTGAAGTGAGTTACTCAAATGATTATAAAGGTCTTAGATACAGCCAAATTCTTGAAGAAGCGAGCATGAATGAATGTGAGCATGTAAAAAAGGAAATTGATTACAGCATACCAATCAAATGAGGAGCTTTAATATGGATATGTTAACCTTCTCTGAGGTTTCACTGTCTATAAGATTACTGTTGTGCCCCTCACCTAAGGCATGTTGACCGTCATGTTAAACCACCACGAATTGACTTCCTCTAGTGGGAGAGGAGCTCAGTGGTCATCTGGGACTATACAACTTTACTATCACCTTAGTTTAACAAGCAAGTTCCCTCTGCAGCATCTTTTAAAAATCTCCAAGAATAACATTGATTTTAATTCCTTCCAGTTAGTTCCATTAAAGAACACTGTCACTTCTGGATCCTTTGGAGTAGATCTATCGTCATTAATAATGGATTAATATTTCATTCCAGCTTCCCATGTTTTTTTTTAAAGTCAGACATAATATCACTTAAATCGCATCCGCCAACATAATGGGTCCCTTTGGAAAACCAATAAATGTCCACATATAAAAGTTATAAATCAATAGAGATATCAACAACCAGATCTCATTCTCTGCTGTTGATTAATTTCAGATAACATTGTTATAGATTCCTTGATGGGAAATCATCTTTTTTGAATGCTGTATTTAGGAGCCACAGCTGCCAGATCTACTGTTCAAGGACTAAAATTAAAGCAAAATTCCTCACCAGAGTAGGAAAATGAAAACAAATCGTATTATTAATATGGGAACATTCAACTTGTAATTTGCAGAAAAAAAGCCATTTAATTTGGGTAAATGGAAGTGCAACACTATCGAACATACATTTGCAAAAATAAAATTGCTCAAATACTGACACTGTGATGCTGAATTACATTGACTGGAGCATGGCAGAATTCTACTGATGGAATCTTCGGCTCATTTGTTTCACTTCTGTTATGTTAGACTGTGGCCTAAACATTTCACTTAGCTTGTGTAAAGCTAAATTTGAATGTTGTTCAGTTGCTGGCATTACCTCAAATGTTCTAGAACAAGGGGGAAATAATAATGCTAAACTAGTCTGAAATTGCTTTTAGCCTTTATTTTGTAAAGACTGATCTTTGAGTCACTTTTTGGATGCCTGCAAAGAAGAATATTGACAATATATTCAGCATGTCCTCAACCTCTCTTTATTTGCTTTACCTTCATTTGTTCTTTGTAACAATATTGGTTTTATATACATGGTCAGGTTCAAAGTTCATAGAAAAGTACATGTACGCTTGGTTCAACATAATTTTGAAATGGTAAATGAAGTAAAATGTAGCAGAAATTTCAAGACTGACAGTTAACATTTATTTCCTCAAACTTTTCAGTTACATGTTGCCACATAAATTCTCCTCATATTCTTTTTCAGGCTTGTCATATTTTGATCATGTCAAGTGGACATAGAGTCTTTTAAATACCTTATATCTGTATAAAAGATGAACATTTGCAGTGTAGATATATAGGGAGAGTGTGAAATAATGGCTGAAAATTCATGCTAATGTTGTAATGGCAAATCCTCACTGCAATTCACCATTTCATAATGGTATACTGAGAAACACTGGGTAGATTCACTGCTGCCAATCTTTCTTGCTGGTATCAGTTTCAGGGGGATTCCACATGGACACTTCAGCAAGAAAAAGGTTCAATCTTGATGAATAACATATTACTTAATAGCTAATAACTCTGAGATATTTTATTGTCCCTTCTGAGACAATAAGGCTAAACCTAAGCTTAAATGCACATCACCATATCAGCTACACACTGTTCAAACAAAGAACAATCACCGAAGCACTTTACCCACTCTGGTGAACAGATGTAAAACTTGCAGGGAACCGGTTAGCTCAATCCCAGGGAACAGTCCCATTTATTCTGATGGGCAGAGTTTATCTTGTGGTGTCAGCAAACTCTTTCGGGGTGAACTGTCTTTCACAATAGATGGGAAAGGAGTTACTAAGAGGCTTAGCATCTTTGAAATTGGATAATTTATCAGAGTTGGATGGAATTTATACCAAAATGATAATGGAAGCAACAGAGGAAATAGAACAGGCTTTGATTATTATTTCTTGATATTCTCTGGTTAGAGGTGTGGAAGGTGGTGTGAAGGACTGCTAATGTCATACTATTGCTTAAAAAGGGGAGACACAATATGCTGAGTAATTGTAGGCCAGCTGGCTTATCGTTGCCAGTGTGCAAATTATTGGGAAGAATTTTGAGAGACATTATTAATCATTATTTAGAAACGTATTAATTAATCAGGGATCATCAGCATAGATATGATAAGGAAAAGTCTGATTAATTGATTGTATTTTGTAATGAAATGACAAGGTTCAATTAGATATCAACTAGGTGGATTTTAATTTAAAAAAAAAACAAGGTTTTTGTCTCATGTCTTACGTATCAGACTGATCAGAAAGGGAAGTGACAATTGGATCAAGTGTAAAATGTTGAACCCAAAATTAGCTTAGTGACAAAAAGGAAAGAAATAGTTCATCAGTATTTTTGAACCTGAAAGATTAATTCCATTGGGGTTCTATAGGTCTCAAAACTGGGTTACTGGCTTTCCATGGCATCATTGACTTGTCTGTAAATGTAAGGGGAATGAATACATGATTCACAGTTGATAGAAAATTTGATTATGTAGTAGGTAATGAGGAAGAGAATTATCAAAAATAGGAAGGCATCAATGGATTGATAAATAAAGCCAGAGAAGTGTGAGACATTGCATTAGGGGTGAGCAAACAATGTAAGGAAAAACACAATAAATGGCAAAATATTGTGGAGCCTAGAGAAACAGGAAGCCTTGAAATGCTTGTCTACAGGCCCAGAAGAGAAGTAGGGCAGGCAGATAAAGTTATTAAGGCAAAATTGTTTGATACTCTCCTTTATTTGCTGAGGCATAGAATATTAGGGCTGGAAGGCTTTTCTAGAATTATTTTCTAGCTAGGCCACAGCCAGCGTGTTGTACATCATTCTGGTCAATGCATTCCATGGAGGTTGTGTTTGCAGTAGAGATGATACAGAAATTTATGCAGGTATTTGCTAGAAATGGAAAATTATAGCTATAAGAAAAGGTTACTTAGGCATTGTCTGTCTTTTTTCTGTTACATCTCATCCAATTGTATTGTACTATATCTGTCTTTTATGCTCCAAATATCAGTTATTGCCTGTGTCTTTTTATTTGTCAAAGGTTTCACCTTCTGGAACAGAATCGTCATTCTGTGATTTCTTTCTAACTGTAATACTTTATCATTTTATTACTGTATTATGACATAATATTGTACCATCTTTTGTTAACCTGCTTGAATTCATTCTCTATTTTCAATTTTATCATACTCAATGTACTGCTTTTCCTTCTTCTGCATTATTTTGAAAGTCTCTGTTCTGTCATCCACTCCTTGTCCACTACTCTTCAAGCGGAGGAAAATTCAATGATATCAATTATAATTTTCACTTATGGTGAAACAAATAATTTTACAGTTATAAATGCATTTCTCTGTGGCTATTGTAGTAAAATGTTACTAAAGCTAAATGGATTTTTAAACTTAGAGCTTGATGTTGTACTAATCAACTTTGTACTTGCTATAAATGTATGATTATTATCCATATATGATTGTTTATGCCAAATCAAGTTCATACAATTAAGATATCCAACGTGGATAATAGCTATCAAAAACCAAAAGAACTGCAGATGCTGGAAATCAGAAGCAAGAACACAAATTGCTGCAAAAACTCAGCAGATCCGGCAGCATCTGTGAAGATAAATCAGAGTTAAAGATTCGGGCCCAGTGACCTGAGGAAGGGTCACTGGACCTGAAATGTTAACTCTGATTTCTCTCCACAAATGCTACTGGATCTGCTGAGATTTACCAGCAACTTCTGTTGTGGATAATAGTTATTAATTGACTTACCTCTGTTTGGAATGGTAAGGCGGCCACCTAAAAAATTAAATGTTCCAAATGCGGTATTTGAAGCATCCCTCAATAATGATTTGTTGTTCATCTGCATTGAGAGTCTTGCCATAAGGTTTGAAGTGTCAGAATGTACTGTACCATTGCGTAATGTATTTCTTTCATTTGCAAGTCGGTCCAGAAGGGGAGAGTTAGTCATTGGAATCTTGTCGGAGATATCCTGTCGTGAACGGATTGAGCCTTGGTATGCTGATGTGCTTGTGAGGTCAGGCTGAATTGTAAGCAAATGGGAGTTATCTATCAGAATGAAAACAGACAAGCCACTGTGAAAAATACGCTGCATTTCACAAATTGCTGAACACACTTTTAAACACCAGAATAAGTTAATTATGTGTCCTCTGAATACAAAGTGTATATTTCCTTCATTCAACAGGGTTTACAGCAAAAGGTTTTTCAAAATTCATTGATTGCAATAAAATACAGCCATAATTGTGAAGGTTGTATAAAACAGATGTTTCAATTTCATAGTTTAAAAATCAATCCATTCAAATAATTACAGTTATTTACACATAATAGTCATTTGACACCATTCGGTTGTTTTAAATTCATGGATTTGTGTTAATAACTATTCTTGTACTTTATTACAGCAACAAAATCTGATTTTCTATTTAGAAACTTTTTACATGCTACAATGCTGGGACGTCAATATTTTGTTTCAAAAATCTAAGTGTAATACCCAATTATTGCTTGTATTTAGAAATGTCTGAGACGCTCAGAATGCCAAAATGCCCTCCATCACGCGGAACGTGTCATTTTTTTCTCGGTGTTATGGACAATTTTCTTCCCACAAAAGTCCATCTCAGAAATGGTTCAATCAAGGTGATGGATTCACAACATGCAAGTGAATGTCCATTGACTAGGTCCTACATCTCTTCTGGTTTAGAAAGACAGTGTGGGACTAGGTGGAACCTGAGATAAATAATTAGTATAATCTAAAGAAAGTTGTTCAAGTGTATCTAAATAATATAAAGTAGGTTAAGCAAGAGAAACCTTTCCAATGTCCTGTGCTGAACCGTTTTAGCTAAAAGGTAAGGCGTCAAACTTTTAGCTTGGATATGACTTTGCTACAATTAATTTTTTTCTCCTGTACCTTGATTCATTTACCTCTTGGTCCCATTTTCCTCAAAAAAATCTAATAACAATCTTCCGAAAATAAAACTAATTATAACAATCTTTCAAAGACAAAACTAACATAAAAACAAACTGGAATAACTAACCTTGTTTTGGTGTTTTAATGTTCACAGGTTGAAATCCTGTTGTTAAAATTGAAGAGTCAGTTACATCAGAATCAAAATCTTGCTGTTTTTTCCGATATACGAGGATTACCACAACCAGCAGTAAGGTTAGACATACGGCTACGGCCACAACACCGGTGTACAGTGCAACATCACCAGGTACTGTTGAAGCTAAAACATAGAACATATTTAAACTATCAATAAATGTACATCACCGATCAAAAAATAAGGAATGATTAATCTTTTGATCAGAATTTCTTCAAAATCAAAATTGATATGAATAAGTAATATTTAAGATACTCACACCCTCAAGTTATCCCTCATTATTATTAGATTCATTTCTATATTAAATGATATCTACTATCTTAAATTGCCAAGCATATATTATTTATTTGAAAATTAAAATTGTGAAAAGAAAAAAAAAATCTCTAAACATACTTTGTTGGCAATTTGGTTGAAGACTTTTGTTTAAGGGGATCAAGGGTTACAGGGAAAAAGTAGGGGAATGTAGTTGAGAAATACATCAGCCATGATCAAATGACAGAGAAAATTTGATGGGCCAAATGGCCAGTTCTGGTCTTTTCATATCTTATCTTTTCATATCAGTTCATATCTTATGGTCTTACAGAAAATAATTTGCAGGTATAATAGAGTTCCCATTCCTTTGATGCAAATATTAGCATTCAATGACCTTGCATTGATATTGAACATAGAACATAGAACAGTACAGCACAGGCCCTTCGGCCGATCACATCTGTGCCAACCATAATGCTGTTCTCAACTAATCTCATCTGCCTGTGCATGGTCCAAATTCCTCTATTGTTTGTCTGTCTAGTCATTCTTTAAACATTGCAAACCTATCTGCCTCTACCTGGCAGAGCAAGCCAGGTACCTATCACCTTCTGCATAAAAACCTTGCCTTGCACATCTCACGTACCCCATCTCACCTTAAACCTAGCCCCCTCATATTTGACATTTTCACCCTGGGGTAAAGAGTCTGACAATCCAACATGTCCATGCCTCTCATAATTTTACATGCTTCTATCAGGTCACCCCTCATTCTCTGGTACTCTAAGTTTGTCCAACCTCTCCTTATACCAAACATAGTATCCAGACAACATCCTGGTAAACCCCCTATTTTGCACGTCTTCAAACCTCCACTTTCTTCTCATAATGTGGCAACCAGAACTGCACACAATACTCCAAATGTGGCCTAACTAAAGTTTAATACAGCTGAAACATGATTTGGCAACTTTTATACCAAATGCCCTGACTGATGAAGGCAAGCATGCTGTATCCCTTCTTTACCACCTTATCTACTTGTGTTGTCACTTGCAGGGAGCTAAAGCCTTGCATGCAATGCTCCTAAGGATCCTGAAATTTACTGTATATTTCCAAAAATATACCACCTCACTTGTCTGGATTAAACTCCATCTGCCATGTCTTTCCCAACTTTCCGACTGATCTATATCTAGCTGTATCGTTTGAAAACCTTTCTCACTATCCTCAACTCCACCAATTATTGTGACGTGTGCAAAGTTATTAATCAGACCACCTACATTTTCATCCAAATCATATAAAACCAAACAAGAGATCCCAGCACTGAACCTTGTAGAACACCCCAGTCACAAATCTCTAGTCAGAAAAACATCCCCCAAAACTACCCTTTAAATTTTATGACCAAGCCAATTTTGTATCCAATTTACCAACTCACCATGGATCCCATGTGACTTAGCCTTCTGTACCAGTCTACTATGAGGGACCTTGTCAAATGCTTTAGTAAAATCCATGCAGAAAATATCGACAGCCCTATCCTCATAAATCATCTTCAATACTTCCTCAAAAAAAATTTGTAAGAGTAGTCCTCCCTTGCATAAAGTCATACTAGCTCTCCCCAATAAGTCCATTCTTTTCCAAATGTTAACACACCCCTCCCTAAACTTACCATGAGTTATTTCCTTCTCCTTGGTGAATACCAATGTGAAGTATTCTTTAAGGACCTCACCCACTTCCTCTGGCTCCATGCATAAATTCCCTCCTTTGTCCTTGAGTGTACCTACCCTTTTTTCAGTTACCCTCTTGCTCCTAATATAATGCTTTGGGATTCTCTGTAAACATATTTGCAAAAGACTTTTCATGGTCCCTTTTAGCTCTTCTAATTCCTTGTTTAAGTTCTTTCCTGCTTCCTTTATATTCCTCAAGGGTCTTGTCTAATTTCAGTTTCCTAAACATTACATATGCTTCCTTTTACTTTTTGACAAAAATTTGATGACTGATGCAAATAGATTATATTATTCTTATTAGCTAATGTCAGAATAAAGCCAGGCTATTTGTTGAAAATAGATTTTGAAAATATTCTGTGTAAACTATTAACTTCTCATGTAAAGACATGGCACCATTCAAAAGCAACTTCCATGAATTATATGCTGAATAATGATCAAATGACCTATGCTACCGCACACCATGAAATGTGTTGACAAATAGTTTTAAAAATTACTTCCTTTAACATGACAAAAAGGATTTTCATATCATGATGCATCGAGTGTCACAAAACATTTAGATGAGCTGCAGACTGTGTGGAAAAAAACAGTTTTGCAGATGGGTCATCCTTTATTGAAGCTACCTGATATTAACATTTTGGACGTGAAAATTACCATCATCCCAAAGGCCATGGAGAAAGACAACTGGTAGAGTGTTTACCTTTGGGATCACTACATCTCAGGTAAGACTGAGAAGGCAGGGCCTTCATAGCGACCTCATCTGGTATGGGAATTGAACTTGACTCTTGGCATCAATCTGCATTGCAAACCAGCTGATTGAGCTTACTGATTCATTTCATTGAAAACAATGGATATTAAAGCTGTGCTTTACATGCCAAAAAGCTGATTCACAATGTTAGATTTACATGCAGGCATATATTGAAAACCTATCCATTTGCATCAATTAGATTACACCGTATTAAAATGTAGCCATTTTGTGTGAACAAATATTCCAAAGACATAAGTGGCAAATTACTTATGTTTTTGTGCAGTTAATTGATGGAGATATTTTGGTCAAAATTCCTGCAGTTCTTTGCATAATGTCTCTAATGCTGTTTGTGTCAATTTAGCAAGAAGAATTTCTGAATTCTCATGGTGTAGGAGGTCATTTGCCCATTATATCTGCACCGGCTCTCCAAACAGAAATCATGACTTAGTTCCACTCTCCTACGTTTTCTCTGTACCCTTGAACATTGAATGAGTAATGAAATAGAAACAGTGCCCTCTTGAATGTATAATTGAACCTGCCTCCACCACACTTCCAGGCAGTGCATTCCAGTTCCAAACCACTTATTGTGTAAAAAAGTTATTTCTCACCTTGCATTTGCTTCTTTTGCAAATCATTTTAAATCTGTGTCCTCTGATTCTTGATCCATTTATGAGCAGGAACAGTTTCTCCTTGTCTGCTCTATCCAACCTCCACATGATCTTGAAAACTTCTACAAGACCTCCTGTTAACCTCCTTCTCTCCAAGACGAACGATCCCAGCCTCTTCAATCTATTCTTATCACTAAAGTTTCTCATCCCTGGAACCAATCTAGTGAATGTTTTCGCACTCTCCTCAATGCTTTTACATCCTTCCTAAAGTGTGGCATGCAGACCAGAAGACAATAGTTCATCTGAGGTCTAACAAATGTCATATAAAATTTCAGCATCACCTCCTTACTCTTGTATCCTATGCTCCTATCAATAGTGCGCAGGATACTGAATGCATTATTATTGGCTCACGCCAGTGTCCAGCCACCTTCAATAATCTGTGCATATATACTGGGTCACAGTGCTCCTGTATACCCTTTAGAATTGTACCCTTTGTTACATTGTCTCTCCATGCTCTTCCAATTAAAATGCATCACCGCATACCTCTCAGCATTGAACTTCACCTGCCACTTATCCACCCTGTCCACCAACTTGTCTATGTCCCTTTGAAGTTTTACATTGTCATTCTCACAGTTTACAATGTTTCCAAGTTGCATGTCATCAGCAAACTTTAATGCTCTATGATCTAGATCATTAATCTATATTGGAAAAGCAAAGTCCTGGGGAACTCCACTACAAAGGCAGCACGGTGGCACAGTGGTTAGCACTGCTGCCTCACAGCACCAGGGACCTGGGTTCAATTCCACCCTCGGGCAACTGTCTGTGTGGAGTTTGCACGTTCTCTCTGTGTCTGCATGGGTTTCCTCCGGGTGCTCTGGTTTCCTTTCACAGTCCAAAGATGTGCAGCCTAGGTGGATTGGTCATACTAAATTGGTGTTCAGGGATTTGTACATTAGGTGGGTTATAAGGGAATGGGTTTGGGTGGGTGCTCTGAGGGTCAGTGTGGACTTGTTGGACCGAAGGGCCTGTTTCCACACTGTAGGGATTCTATGATCTAAACCTTCCTAGCAGCTTAAAAATATCTATAGACAATTACTAGCTGTTTGCTATTGCTGAGTCAATTTTGTACGCACATTGGTGCTGTCCCTTTTGTTCCATGAGCTATAACTTACCTCAAGTTCATTGTGTGGCATTATGCTGAATGCTTTCTGGAAATCTATGTATACCACATCAACACCATTGAGCCTGTTATCTGTTCAAAAGATTCCAGCAAGTTGAACACAACTTTACCATTAGATAGCCATGCTGACTTTTACTAATCAACCAACCTCTTACAATGTGAATACTAACTCTACCCCAATTAAGTATTTATAGAAGCATTACCATCATTCAAGTCAAACTAACTGGTCTGTAATTTCCAGGCTCATCCTTATGTTTTTTGAACAAGGGAGTGATGTTTGCAATTCTCCAGTCTTCTGGTATCTCCTAAATCGAGGGAAGACTGAAAGATTATGGGCAGCACCCCTCAATTTTTGCCTCGACAAATGAATAATTCAACCTAATGGGCAAGAACTCTTTCAATTAAGAGATTAGTTTAGATTATGTACTTCAGTCCTGAAGTGGAGCTTACACCAGAGAACATCTGAGCTCAAGGCATGGGGGCTAAATGAACCAAGCATACGCTGGTATAAATATAATGGATTGGTCCTTTGACTCAGAGCCCAGTTGGTCCAATTCTGACAGTGAGAATGGAAAAATCAAAGTCGACCCTCAAGGTCAGGCAGAGACCATGTTTTTGCTGTGGTGATTTATATA